CTAGCCCTACGGGCTGGTTGCTCAAAAATAGAAGCCCAATTCGCCATGTGTTTCTGTCGGTTTTCAGCTTCTGTTTCCGAAAAAAACTTTTTACCCATTAGTGGTTAAGGACAGAAAAAAGTTTCGCCTGTCTTTTTCGCTCTCTGAAAGTCCTTCATATTATTTGCCTTACCCGATATTCTTCTGTTCGGATGCTTCCGGATACTAACGGTTCTTTGTTGCTGTATGGTTTTTTCTTTCCTTCTCTTCCGTCTTCAACTGTCGGCTTTTTCTCCTCTCTCTGGTTATGACTATGCTTCTTCCACTTTCCATGTGTTTTCTAGACATTTTCTCGACTCATTTTTTTAACTTGTTTGCCTCTATTGGTGTTTACCTCATTACTTTATTGAACAGTTGATCAAGCCGTATTTTTTCATTTTTCTTTTGTTATTCAAGTTACCTATTTTTTCATTTTTATTTTTATTTTCTTTATTTGTTTTATATCTAATTATAAAATGTGAATAGTTTTTTCAACAGTAGAGTGTTTTTTTTGTTATTCTCTCTAGCTCTCCGTATCGAAATGCTTTTGACTTGTTGGTCATAGAAATACTTACGTGTCCGGTGCGTAACTAACGTGGAAACTTAAGAATTTGGGATTAATACCGTATTTAATGTCAAGTTGGATCTATGGGACTTGTTTTTGTTGGTATTTTTTATTGTTATTCTAATTGTATTCTATTGAGCAGAGAAAAATTCTATTGAGCAGAGAAAAAAAGAAGCGTTTGTGGCTAGCTTAAGATTTGGCCTGAATTTCACTTATCATCTTTTATGAATATTACATTTTTTGTACTGTTTCTTTTCTTTCCTTTTCTTTTTTTTTTTTTTTTTATCTATTTGCCCAATTACTGACTGCAGTTTAGTGAACGGTCGAAGAGCACAGTTTGGTGGAATAAGGTGTAAATTTTCTTTCCAAATATTTCTATAGACCATTTACCGATTGTCGTTGTAAACTGAATATACAGATGTGTAATGGATTTCAAACTATGATATTAGTAAAGGTTAAAAAAAGTTTTATTGCTGAAGACGGCTGTCTAAGAAATTACAGTTGAGATTTTTAAAGAAAAAGTTTTTATTTTTCGATTTTAAACTGTATTTGCTTTAGAGGGCGGAAAGATAATTGAGAAAAAAGGTTCTAATTTCATAATGTTTATTGTTGTTATGAATGACATTTTATGGTCAAGCATATAGATGTATGATTATTTAAAACGAAGACCAATGTTGACGAGTAGTCAACTTTGAAGCCCAGAAAACAGTTTAAAAGATGTTGTAAAATTGACTATACTTGCTGATTGCTGTTACACTGTAATTTAAATGTACTAGAAGATGTTACCAGTGATAGCTCTTTGACTGTTTTTTTCCTTGTTTTCTTATCAGCATAACAGATTTCTTTTTTTTTTTTTCGTTTATTACAAGAAAATTATTTTCTATTACGGCTATCTTATTTAGTTGGTGGTATAATGAAAAAACTGTTAGTCGTACTCCGACAATATTTTCCGTCTTTTTTTTTTTTCTTTGTACTGTTGTTTCTGTTTTCATTCTTCTTATTGTTTGTGTTTATTTGTGTGTTTTTTCATTTTTAAAGTTTACAAAGAATTTTATAGAGCCCAAATTTAGTTCTATCGATGCTGTAGAATAAGGCTGGTAGTAAATTTAAAAAAAATTAAACACTAAAATCAAGGACAACGAGAAGGCCAAGAAGCTCATAACACCCTGTCCAATAATAATTATTTTTGGAGCAACTATAATCTGTTGAAAGTTCCTAACCGTCTTAATAATGGCTACAATGGATACTCTGATACTGAACGCTGGGCACTCACAACTTGAAGAACAACTTAAAATTGCGGCTGTAGCCTGTGAGGTCAACGAACAGAGCGTTAATGTCGAAAATGTTAAAGTGGACGATGGTAACGGTGATCTGAGCATGGAGGACGTTCAAGAAGGTTTTAGTTTATTCAAACATTTTCTGGTATTCTCATCAGTTGTTTGGTCGTTAATTCATTTAAACACTCTCAACAATTTTCCTCCAGTACTGAAACTGTCCACTATACTGGCTTAACATCTCTGTTGAATGTTTAATTGGATTAGCGATAAAATAGGCTGTGTTCAGATTAATCTGAATTTTAGTGAAAATAAAGTTTATCGAAAAGCTGCATAACAGATGAATAATAGGTGCAGAAAAGAAGCGTTATTAAAATTTTACATATCTAATTCGTTTGTTAACTCAGCGATGGTGTATATAGGTTGGGCAGCAATAACATTTTGAACAAAAATGAGGAAAATAAAATGGGTAAATTGGAAGAAGGAAAGAAGTGGATAAGAAGTTAACTATTTAGTGAAAAAAACATTTTTTTTTTCAATTTTGATGAGATTTGTAAAACCAAGGACGGTAGCATTAATTATTTGTTTATAAACTTAGATAATTTTATTATTTTTAAGGACATTTACATGACAATTCAATGACATCATCGTCATCAGATCATGACAGCTCAGCGGAATCTCCACCTTTATCGAAACAACGTTTACTTGGCGATGAATTTGTAAAAACTTTAGAGGAAATATCAAAACAGGTTAGAGATAACAGTCTTATGGAATACTGATGTCGTTTACAGTTTATTTTTTCAGTGTTATCACTTATCAAACAGTTACTGCTTATTTTTGATGACGAATATGAATAAAATCTTTCTGGAACATTAAGATAGAATTCTTTGGCTTTTAATCTTTTCCTTTTTTCTTTTGGTCATTTAATTTATTTGATTTTTTGGTTTTTTTTGTTGAACCATATGGGTTGTTAGATTGTGCTGTGGTATCAAGTCAGCACTGAATTGTTTACATTCATTTTTGATTCAAATACTGTTGAAGAGCTAAAATTTTTGGCTTTGTCTTTTTTTTCGTTTACATGGTCTCTAAATGGCACATTCAAGTTTAAGAAAATCTGTCTAGCGTATTTGAATTTTTGACAATCTTTTCAATTACGATGCTGTTCTGCATTCTTATCAGTTGTTGAACATCTTAAATAAAGCAAAAATTTTGTTCAAAAAAAGTGAAAAAGAAAAAAATTAGTTTTTTTTTCTAGCAAGCTGCTCAATTAGCTGCAAGTAATGGTGTAAGTCATCCGGTACAAGGAGGTAATTATCGAAGCGAATTAAAGCGACCAGATTTAAAAGGTTGATTCCTGCCTTTTGTTTTATCCTTTGCTTAGTATTGTTTGTTACATCGAACAAAACAATTTTGCTTTGTTTAAAGAAAAAATTTGATAATTTTTTGTACAACTATGATTTTAGCTATTGCTGTGAACTAAAAATCTGTTTATTGTTTACCTTATTTTTTTTTTT